TTCATGAGGGGGTCCGCGGCCATACAAAGGCTGTCTGATGAAATGTGTGTGTGTGGTTCGTTCTTGACTGATTTGGATCAGGGTTTTTGGCCAACTCCTGTGGGTGAACTACCAGTGGTCCACGAACCCGGCTATAGCCCCGAATGTCGGCTTGTCGTGCGCTCACTTTGGTGGGAAAACACCTCTGCCACGAAAAGGCAGTGAGTGGGGGCTTCCTCAGCAGAGGATATTTGAGACGCTTTGTCGTATGAGAGCATTTCGCGAGGTGTAAGGGAAGAGTGATCAGTCGCAATCCTAGACACCCATCGCCGACCATACTGAGGATTTCGGAGACAAGCATACTGCACACCTGACCACCGGGTGGCTGACAAGACCGATTTTCAGTTTGGCTAAACGCGATATAGTATAATCAGGTCTAGCCGGTGCACGATTTCTTCACATTTTTTTCAGTTCACGCTTTATTGCATGATCAAATCAAATCCTCCCTCTACTTGCATTTGAACTGCTAGTTTTGTTGTATCATACGTAGATACTCAGTCATCCTTCTCTACATCAGTTTTTGAGTATATGAGGAAAGGTGGATGAATTTCAAAACATACAATAACGAAAACAATAAATTTAAGGTTACTGCCTCGCGAGGTTTTTGGGACTGGACTCCATGATATGTGACTTTACTGTACCGTACGACTGTACACGCGAATAATGTTTTTATACTAATTCAGGCCTTAAGTATTTCCGATACTGATACATGAGGCTAAATTGAAAAACTGATGAGATTGGCTGTCTGTGGTCAAGTCGGTAGTATGCTCGCATTCTATCCGTGCTGGTGAGATCCCCCATTCGATCCTCAGTTGAGTAGAATTGGATTCACACTGCTGCTGAATCGACCAAATGACGTCGAAGCAGTGTACAGTACTCGCTAGCTTTTCCGTTCATGATTTATGTGCTCTGTACACGACGAAATTCACCATGTATCAGTTATCATAATTTTGATGGCCACTATATATTGTCAAAACTGGATCTTAACATTTTAGCATCCCAGGTATTTTGGTGAAAAAAAACAAATATTTACCTGAACGTTATCCGTATTGGTGCGTTGATCATCAAGCAATGCTAAGAATGGACGATATCAAATATCGATTGACCTTGGCCAAGAGACTTCTTTTTCTGATAGACTGGTTCGCTGCCCTGGCTGTTGTGCGTGCATCCAATCGGCCCGTTTGAAAGGAACCGTTCCACGTGAATAGATCGCGCCTAACTCGTGCACCACCCAACTAGCGAACGTTTGTAACCTATAATTAACTCATCCGTCTGGGTATGCTCGATCGATTGTTCAACCACCTTGACAACTGTGCCCGATTCACGAACGAGCGAACAGATGACGCAAAACGGTGCCTATCGTGTGTGTACTTTTGCGTGCATAAAACAGGTGGCTACAGCCGGTTGGTACCATACGATTCGTTCAGCGGACATTTGGGGGACTGACCTTTTCGCAGTTTCCAGCCTAGACAGACGTGTACTGTTTTCGTTGTTGTTATTGTTGTTGTCATGGCTTGGGTGGTTAGAACAGACATTGTCGAATCGATTGGGCGTGAGATTAGCCGTGTGTGTACCGGGATGATGATGGTCATTGCGAACCTACCACATACAGAGTGACAGAAAGAGACCTGGACCAACCGATTCGCAAATCGTCATATGATGTGCCAAAACAACTGTCAACATGTCGAAAAGTTACCGATCTCCGTTCTTGCCGCTTCGTCAGCTTTCTATCTCGGTGTTTGTTGGTCTGTCTGTTTGTCTGTCTGCTCATAGCTGTTAGTTTCCCCTATCCAACACTTCTGGTACTTTAATTGTTTGATCCCATCAAAACGGAACAAATCTAGTAGGAAGATAAATTGTCTGGATCACTTTTGACTGGCGTATTTTGGTTAGAACAGTGCAAACTGGTCAGGGACCGCAACCGGACCTCCTGAACACCTGTCGTGATGTCTGGATTCCGACCGGTTGCCAGCTTGGAATCCAGTGAACACGAATTAGGCAACGGTGCAATCGTGCTTCTTTAGCAATTGAACATGTGTGGATTTGAAACATGTAATCCATGGAAATAAAATGCGCTATCAATCTGAACCATTTGGAGCTAGCGCATTATCAAGCAAGGTCTTGGCTGTATTCTACCGTTCATATATAAACAAACTATACGAAGGATTGAAGATAGAATCCGGTCTGTATGTTTTGAAAACGCGTCCTGAATGTTTTCCGGCTCATAGTATACTACTTATTGTTTGAAAATGTAGGAACTCGAGCGATTATATGATTCGTTTGTGATAATGGTTTCCGAAGTGAACAATAAAAGTAATGTGACCAAGAGGNGATCTACACAACTATCGAGGAACTTGTCTGTAAACGCTTCATTAAATAATCATTTGTGAATCGCGCCGGACGATCAATACGGAGAGGTCGCACCACAAAATTGCACTCAAAAACATGACATTCACACGAAAAATGTCACTCAGCTGGAAAACATGTTGATCCACGTAGAATTCCAGTAAACAGGTATGCCATACCGATACCGCTCAAGACCCTCCACCACTGTGTTGCTATCGGTTTTCATGTCAGTGATCGAGACGGCATATTACTAGTTCTGAAATTTAGAATCTTGAAAACTACTGCTGTATGCATATGTTACCTATATCGAGTGTCAAACGTGATGAATATTTTCGTATCTTTCAATAGATTCCCATGAATGTTAGAAGATACGAATCGCTTTCTCCGAGCGAGGTCACTAGTTTGCGAGTGATATTTTCAGCACCTAACTGTGACCAGATTTAAAATCAGGCGCAATGAGTCGTGTAACTGATGACAGTTCGTTGGACCGCATGTGACCGGCCAGTTTAGAAATAGACTTTGTGAGTATTTATGTTTTATTGATCAGTATACTCTTGTGCTTTCCTTGAAAATCGAGTCGGTAGGATTATAGTCAACCCTTTTTTCGTGTCTGGAATGATCAGACCATACGGGGCTCCGGATCTAGCGTTACCACTGAAATTGACAACCGGAATACGCACATCCCCTGCAAAAGAACGTCTGCATCTGCATGCCAGCTTTAATCTGATCTACTTGATTCAATGTAGGTGCGGAGAGACCTAACTGGGCGGTGGTGGCCCGGTGGTAATGTCACCAATTATCATCCCGGAGGACGCGTGTTCGAATCCCACCACCACCGCCTGACTTTCGGCATTTGTGTGTTGTATGGCAGCCCTCTGATTGGCCGCTTCCCCCTTCCTGAAAATTGTATCTTTGTATATTCAATAAAAAGGAAGTAAAATGAAGAGAAGAAAAAGAAAAGAAAAAAAGAACAGAGTGACAATTACTTAAATGACGATTACGTAAATGAATGGTTGAGCACATTGTAAATCGGGTCCAAAGTGGAATAACGCAACTGAGGTCAAGGTCGTGGCATGAAAACAACAGTAGAAACTAGAAAAATTCGTCATCTTTCACAGCTCAACATCTTCTGATGACGCAAAACTAGGTCGACCGAAACATGGCGCTCCAGATTGTCTACAAGTTACCAGGGTTTTTTTAAGCGAATGCTATCAATCAATGGAACCTCCAACCCAACAAAAAGAACTTTGTGTTAGTTTACCCTTACCCTGATGGTATAGTTCACCTTTCTCCCCTTTCCTTTTTTTGTTTGTCTGTTTTTCTTAAATTTCAATTTATATCGTTGCCATGTCAAAGCTGTACACACAATCTTACGGTGCAGCGAAATTGTCCTGAACATAAATCATACAGTATTGCAATATGTTGTGTTTCCTTTTGAACTGGAATTATTAAGAAACACCACGATGTGAAACTATTCACCCACATCAATAAATTCCTTGATGGATTAGTTTACGGTTTACTCGTTCGTGTTTCATCAATACGATTTATATGTTATTTGAACAATGAATTTACTTCTGCCCTGGAAAACTTTACGCTATTCTTAACAGCATATTTTAAAGATACTTCTCAACAGAACACATCTCAAACAAAACAACAGAGTGGTGAACAAGCTCATTTTCAGTAATTGGGGGTGTGGGGNTGGGTTCACTGCCGGATACTGGCCACAGCAGAAGCGGTGGACATTGGTCTGCAGAACAACCCCTTCCCTCCCCCAGTCTGCGAGCCCCAAAACGATTTGGGTGAGCGCAAAATACTTCTCGTGGTAAAACAAGTCACGTTCCCTGCGGACAGTACCATCTAACCCACCTACAAAGCATGAACTCATAAAAATGATTCATAAATGAACTGGTTCCAAAGGGTCTGTCCAAACGAATGCGATAGTTGTATCAAAAATTACTCAACTTTACCTAAACGACCTCATCCAATCAAGTGCAGAAACAGTTCAAACTTGTGTACTCCTCTCTCCAAACCGCGGAGTTCAGTTTGGATTCCTTAACGAAACTAATCTCAAAGTTGGTATTATTTTCCAGTCAGAATGAATCAGTGTCGGAACTATATTTGTTAAACCATTTCTGTCAAAATCCGAAGAATTGTCATCACTGAAACAAAGAAAACGCACATGTCCCCGTGGCTACAGTTGTTCATATCGTAAATTTGTTACAACGTTAGCAACAGCCGTCAAATATGTGGTATATTTCGTCAACTCTCTCGACTTACGTTATTTCAAACACAGATGTTCTGATAAATATATCTGATCCTATTCCGGGTATATGGTCACAATGGTCATAGATTTTATGTTGGTGCTGCCACATTGATAACCGAGACCCGAGATATAATCTGCAGGTAGTACACAAACTGGCTGGGAATACGGATACTAATGACGCGTACTGCGATCGGGGCCATGATCCATTGGTGTCAGATGCCAAATGGCCTGTAATGTAATTGTTCTTTATTGATTTGAGCTGACTATCCCTTGGACTTCAGCTTCACGCACAATCCTCAGTTCATCGAGTCAACACTTGGAAGCACTAGACTCGAGTTTCGCTCTCTCATTAGAGCTTATCAGCGGTGCATATCCACCGCCCCGTCCGGGATTTGAACTCTGGATCCATCGCATGGAAGGCGTGTGCGTTATCACTGCTGTAATTGTGCACACACCGACGTGCATGTCAACACACACGGACAAAGGTCCGAGGTACGTCTTCGGTTTGGGGCCTTGTGAGACTAAGGGAGGTCACTGCATATTCCGGTGCCTCCTACCAGGTTTCGATAGAAGGTAGGGAAATGTTTTTGCTAAATTATGATCATCCAGGCAAGGGGGTAGGAGATTGGAACAGTACTGATTTGCAAAAGGCATAGCGCTCCTTGTCAGGCACCACCAAATTCCACCATATCAATCGATTTGGGCACTCAAATTAACAAACCCAGGCATGCTTTACGTGGCAATGAACGAAACAACACAATCAAAATGCATAACACTAGCAGTGTCAGACGCAACCTACTGTAGGATGGTTTCAACGTCCCGTAAAGTACCGAAGGACTAATTAATTAAAAAACTAAATAAATTGCTCCCAAAACCTGTAAAACAATGAATAAGCACCATGATTCGCCAGACAGAAAGGAACCTCTAAGTGGGCGCACATTCAATTTACTCCTTAACAGTACGGTGAGCAGACTGTATATTTCTAGGACCAGGTGTATGGCTACCCGAGGAAGGGATTAGTCAATCAATCATTCGATCACGCGATCAAGGAGTCATACTGCTTAATGATCAGTCAGCACCTTTGGTTATTTATGGATAACCGGTAACTTGAGGGTAACAAACTGCACCCTCTTAATAGAGTGATACCCCAAAGCCGGATGAGTTGAATTCGATCATTCAGCGTTTGAGAATCTTGGTAAAGAATTGCGTATTGGGCAGTGTTCGAAATTGATAAATGAGCAGAGCAAGACAAGAGGTCAACGGACCCGATAACAAGCAATGAAAGGTGATGAGCACGATGAAAACCGTCGGTTTGGCAACTTCAAATCATGAACTTCATAGACGAACGTGAATGTAGAATGTATTTTTCGGCCCCAAGTGTTTATTACAGTTCCCGTTTTCGGTCCACGAAACCGGATAAATCTGTCCATCAAATCTATTCAATGTTTCTGACCCCTATTGCTCGTTTTCATTTTTTTCCCGTCTTTTTTTAGGGAAAGTACAATCGAGCCTGGTATTGATTGTGAAACAACAACAACAACAGCTGATACTCCATCGTCAAGATCATCACGATATTACCGTATTATGAAAACAGGTAAAGTGGGAACCTCGGATCCGATCGGATTAGCGCATAACGTTTCCACGAATGATTCATTCTTGCACGGAAAGTGTTTACCCACTAAACTGTTTGCCTGCCTGCCCTCACCCATCCACCGTTCCAAAATAAAGAACATTGAAAATCAGTCCCAAAAAGAGAAGAAAATAGTTCATTTCTTTGGCAAACTGTTTTACTGCCATCTGTCAGAATTATGACTTTCGCTGTGCATGTATTTGTACCCCCATCGTCCACCCCGCCGCAGGCTCCGAGTGGCCTGC